CTCTCTCTCTCTCTCTCTCTCTCTCTCTCTCTCTCTCTCTCTCTCTCTCTCTCTCTCTCTCTCTCTTCGTCGTTGTCCTTTGTGCAGCTACGCGTCACCTTCCTCCGCAACGCAGCTATGGCGGACTTCTTCTTCAGTGGCGCTCTTCAATTGTGGCGCCCTACGACGCGCGTCTCTCTCCTGCTACAACGGCGATGGCGCATGGGATAGCGGGAACCTGCTTCGATACCAGTGCAATCAGACTCGCTTTCATTCACACTTCACATGTATGCAAATAGGTTGCGCAGCAAACTGGCGTCAAGCGCCCTCTCAGAACTCAGAGATATAGTACCAAGAACGCAGCTCAGATACAAGTTCACTTCAAACGGCTGTGGAGGCACACCGCCTGTACAACTCTCTGTTCGTCACTTACTCAGCACTGTTGTTCGCACACAGGATCACCCTGGATATCCCACACTCAACACTCTGTACACTCGCACACACCCGCACACACCTACAGCTATTGCGGCTATGGCCGCTGCTACTCTATCGATATGGCTAACTTCCTTCTCGCCCACTTCGTCCTCGACCTTATTGCAGACCACCTCGCACAAGTCGCTATGGCAGCACTTCCGCATGGCTTCCGCAGGAATGAATGAATGGCTGGTCGATGCCTCTCAATTTATACTTCCGTAGCTCGTTGGTCTGGTCCTTTCCCATGCCCGTGGTGCACACAGTCCCGTACGGTACTTGCCGGACTGGACTAGGACTGATTGGGACTTGGACTGCCGACTCAGCACGGGTAGACTCCACCACTTGCCCACTTGCCTTAGCCTAAACGTGAGCAACATCAAAAGGCCACACTAGGACCTTCAGGAAGGCCGTGGACTTGGCCTTTCGATACTGTAGCAGCTACGACCTTGACCCTTCAGGACTGTAGCAGCTACGACCTTGACCTTTCGAAGGAGCCACAACTACGACTGCTAGCCCTTGCTAAGACTCCTACCCGACAGACCTACAGATCGAACCCCTACCACTACACAGACCTACGACAGACAACAACAACTGTCAAAACACAGGTCACGGGTTCAAACACTCGGGGTCGACACAAATACTGTACACTGGTAAGGTGAGAACTAGGGATCGAGCTCTGGGATCTGCATTCGCTACTGCTAACAGGTGAAAACCGTTTCAATTGCCCCTTCGAGAGTCTTAGAAGCAGTCCGTAGGCAAGTGGGCAAGTGGGTAAACTTACCATGTCCAGTCAGCGGTACCCAGTCCCAGTTGCACCTTGTCCAGTCAGCAAGTACCATGTGGGATTGTGTGCACTTTGGGCCCAGTGGAAAAGAGCAGACCAGCGACCAACAAAAGTACAAATCAAGAGGCAGTGTCCAGTTATTCATTCATTCAGACTGCGAGCCGTGCGGAAACGCTGCCAGAGTGACTTGTGCAAGGAGGTCTGCAGGTGAAGAAGAGGGCCGTGAGGGAGACAAAGCGCCCATAGCCGCTAGTTAGTTGCAGAGGTAGCAAGCAGCCATAGCCGCGCTAGGTTAGAGATAGCCATCTGTTTCATCATGCTGAGTAAGAAAGAAGACGAGTCTGATTGCAGAATAAAGAGGGGAGGAGAAAAGGAGGAGGAGAGTGGTTGGCAAAAAAGACGGGAATTATCATTGGTCTTTGGTGGTGTACATCTTCTTCTTTCTTTCTTCTTCTTTCTTCCTTCTTCTTCTTCTTCTTTTTCTTTCCCTCTCTCTCCTCTCAAGTTCATTCATTTCTTTTTGCAATTGGACGACATTGTACTTTCTAATGAATGTGTACTTCTAAATTGGCCAGGATCATCACATTGGTAAAAGAGCGGATTCTACTTGATGGCGAGAGTTGACTTAGCCACCATAACCCTAACCTAAGTGGTTCGGGCTGACCTCTTAGGGTTAGGGTTGGTCCGAAGTGGGAGGTGGGCGACCGTGGATTAAGGAAGCTGCCCCCACCTGGTTAGGTCGTGTTGGGTCGACACTGCACCTGACCAGGTTGTTTGAGAGTAAGCTTGTGGTGCTGAGACACATCAAGACGACTTCGTGCGACAATTTGAGACCGGCGACAGTGAGAGACACTCACACCTGGAATCTAACCTAATAGGACACTAGTGTAGAGGTAGCGATTAGGGTTGGGGAGACCATATGAGGAAGTCTGAGTCCGGGCCACTCAGGTAAGTGTCGTGCACCTAAGGCTTGCCCATGTGTGCGTGCATGGTATTGTTTGTCCTATTGGGGTACTTTCAAATCTCTTTCCTACTCCTCTGAAGTCTTGGTTGTGTGCATTGGTGTGCAAACTACTTACTAAGCTGATGGATGGAGAGATGAAGTTTCTTGCTTTGAATGCCATATCTTTACACAGTGCTTTGCCTTTTCATTATGAGCGGATGTAACCTGTAGGTTCTCTCTGGAAGTTGAATTTCGTTTTCAGTACGGTAGTTTCATGATGTAATGTTTTATTTCGACTTGCCGATGGAACAGGAACCGGACTGATGCTCCCCAGAATGGAAATAGAGTTGGGGCCATAAGGACCTGTTTTATTATATAAAAAAAAAAGAGGCAGAAACTTGCCAGAAAGTAGGACCTGGTGGTACTCTTCTTGGTTGGGACTTGGTTGCACCCTACGTGGGACCCATAGGGACTCAGTGGGACCAGGCCCAAACAAGAAGGGCCCCTTTGACCCAAATCTGTTGACGCAGTGTCACTCTCTTTTCTGTCTGGAATTCATTGTTTTTCTTTTGGTTAGAACACTCACTGCTGAGGGAATCTCAAATGAGACATATTGCGGACTGATGACGCACAATCCAATGCTTGACCTGCACCTTATACACCACTCAATTCTCCATTGTCCTATGTCGTTGCTTGTAATCTGATTTGCCGTACTTTGACGGTGCCAATCGGATTATGCTCGAGGGGATCGCATATTTGGTCTGATCGGACTATTGTTTTATTTTTAGTTTTGGTTGCTCTCTTGTCCAAATATTTTGCAGCTCCGGCTAGGAGTTCTACCTTCTCTTCTTTCTGCTTTTAGTCTGTTTCTGTTGCTGCGGTTCCTTTTATGCCCATCGTGATGCGTGGACAAGAAAGAAGGGAGAGAGAGGTTATGAGTGAGAGATCTAGTAGTTCCAACATGGCAGCGGCCAAGCCTTCTGAGATTCTGAAGGCTCTGATGGATGCAGCAGATGCAGAGGATAAACGGTTGTACCAGGGCCTCTACTAGAAGGAACTGGCCAAGGAGGAGGAGGAAGAAGCCAAGCGGAAAACCGCTATTGAAGGTCATGAGGCCAGCTTTAGAACAGTCTTAACCCTGTCTGAGACAGATGTCAAAAAGGATCTGGTCAAGTATGTGCGTGCCCTCATAGATTGTCACTCGCTCCCTAGCCTAAAGTTCCAACTACTCGACCAGGTGAGCCAGCTATGGACTCAGATGGCAGACATGGTCAAGGAGCACCATGACGAGATGCAGGATATGGCAAATCTGCATCAGGCCCAGATCTCAAATCCCCTTCCCCTACCTCTTGTTTCTAACCGTTTTGTCCTTGCACGTCTCCATACCTCTTCCTCTTCTTGTTCTTCTCCTTCGTTGAGCTTGGTTGCAAGTCTTTCAGGACCTGCAACAGGTCCAGATTCCGTTGCTGCTACAAGTGCCAGCCCAGGAAATTCTGCAACTGCTGCAGCCCGAAGATCGGAACCAGCAATGGCTGGTCCCAGCTATAGCAGTCCATACACGGACTGAAAGGCGGTGATGATACTGTCCAGGTAAGACAACAAGGAATACGATGAGTCCTGGGGGCACTCAAAGAGTGAACCAATCCTTGATCCTAGGGACAAACCTCCAGGCTGTCGTACGAGGCTTCCTAGAAGTCCAAGCTATGCAAGCTGGTTATGCTAAGCTCGATCTGGCTTAAAGTCACTCCGGTAGCCACTCTCGAAGAAATGCTGATTACACAATATTATGACCCACATGCTGCAACAAGAGCAAGGATCCAACTTGATGACCTCAAGCACAGCAAGTGGCAGGGCACAG